TGGCACTCTGTCCATTGACCCAAAATGGCACTCCATCCATGTCCCGATGACACTCCGTCCATTGACCCAAATGGCACTCCGTCTATTGCCCGATGGCATTACGTCCATTGTCCCGATGGCACTCCGTCCATTGTCCCGATGGCACTCCGTCCATTGACCCAAATGGCACTCCGTCTGTTGCCTGATGGCACTCCGTCCATTGTCCCGATGGCACTCCGTCCATTGACCCAAATGGCACTCCGTCCATTGTCCCGATGGCACTCAGTCCATTGACCCAAATGGCACTCCGTCCATTGTCCCGATGGCATTACGTCCATTGTCCCGATGGCACTCCGTCCATTGACCCAAATGGCACTCCGTCTATTGCCCGATGGCACTCCGTCCATTGTCCCGATGGTATTACGTCCATTGTCCCGATGGCACTCCGTCCATTGTCCCGATGGCACTCCGTCCTTTGTCCTGATGGCACTCCGTCCATTGACCCAAATGGCACTCCGTCTATTGCCAAATGGCACTCCGTCCATTGTCCCGATGGCATTACGTCCATTGTCCCGATGGCACTCCGTCCATTGTCCCAATGGCATTCCGTCCATTGACCCAAATGGCACTCCGTCTATTGCCCGATGGCATTACGTCCATTGTCCCGATGGCACTCCGTCTATTGCCCGATGGCACTCCGTCCATTGTCCCGATGGCATTACGTCCATTGTCCCGATGGCACTCCGTCCATTGTCCCGATGGCACTCCGTCTATTGCCCGATGGCACTACGTCCATTGTCCCGATGGCACTACGTCCATTGTCCCGATGGCACTCCGTCCATTGACCCAAATGGCACTCCGTCTATTGCCCGATGGCACTCCGTCCATTGTCCCGATGGCATTACGTCCATTGTCCCGATGGCACTCCGTCCATTGACCCAAATGGCACTCCATCCCTTGTCCAGATGGCACTCCGTCCATTGTCCCGATGGCACTCCGTCCATTGACCCCAAAATGGCACTCCATTCATTGTCCCGATGGCACTCCGTCCATTGACCCGAATAGCACTCCATCCATTGTCCCGATGGCACTCCGTCCATTGTCCCGATTGCACTCTGTCTATTGTCGCGATGGCACTCCGTCCATTGTCCCGATGGCACTCAGTCTATTGTCCCGATGGCACTCCGTCCATTGACCCAAAATGGCACTCCATCCATGTCCCGATGGCACTCCGTCCATTGACCCAAATGGCACTCCATCTATTGACCTGATGGCACTATGACAATAATCTATTATAGAATCACCTAATAAGAATACATCGTGGTTTCCATAGTCCAAATAACAGTCTACCCCTAATTGTAAAACACAGGATTAGTAAGAAGGAGTTGAAGAATAAGGTGGAGTGCATACACACTAACACCCTTGTCCCGTGTTTAAGAGACTAGGCATGACAATAAGTGACCTAACGTATACGTGACATATCATGACTTGAAAGTTTTGTTCAATTATTTTAAAACCATTGTAATAATTGCAGCTCTGCCCTACTTGTTATAATGTGAATCAACCGAACAAAGCTTGAACGACCAGATGTGTGTAGCCTGGGGGTAGGCTGACATTATTTCCGTAAATAGTTTTGATCTGAATGTACTCTTCCAGTGACTCGGTGCCATGTGCGTTAAAGTGCGTGCAATCAACCACGCAAACAGGTTTCTCACTCGTACTCAATCGAAACTATCGTACTGAATAGTTACTATTAATAGACTGTTGTATCACTATGATAATTTTTCATAGAAGTATTATTAATGGTGTCATATAATAATGTCATTATCTTAACAGCTAATATAAGTGGAAATGAAACGGCTGGCATTCATTCTGACAGGTTATATTGAATCATTATTTGGTATCATATGGTGTTACGTGTGAACACAGTGAGTTTTTATTATATAAATGTGCAGACGAAGGCGTACCCTAGGCTCGTATGTTAGTGGCTCGCCCCATGCAACAACATTTTGCATATTATTCCTTTTTGTAATTTGTTTTGTTTCGAGAGAAATGACGACTTTATACTCTAAATGCGATATTCTTTTAATTTTCAGGTGCTTATTACACATTCCTAAATTATGAAATAATAATAGCAATAATAATATTTTATTTTGAAAACGGGCGCAGTTAAGGGAATTACATACAATAAAGAAACATAAAAAGAGATTGATCTCGGAAAAGCAAAAAACAAAAAAACTGAAAAGTGGCAGTTTCACTGAAAAAGAGCACTGGGAAAATCTTCGCACTAAATAAAATTGGAGACTAATTAAGATTTGGTACATTTTGAAAGTAGTGAATGCTGATAGTAGATCTGCTTTCTTCCTGGTTCAAAAACGGGTCCCATCATGTATACATTTCCAATGGAAGTGAATGCCGAGGGTATTGGCGGACACGGTAATATTCGGATATTCGTGCCCATTACTTGGTAAAAGTTTTTTTTTTCTCGCTGACAAAACAATTTAACAGTACTAATGATTTAATTAATAAGATACTATGTCTTGTTATTTACCTCATACAGTTAACGTGTTTTGTCACTTATGGGCATAAGTATATGTGAGTGACTATCTCCCCTCCGAATTTAGTTGCAAGAGTTTCTCTCCCCTTTCGAATTTAGTTGCCAGAGATCTCCTTCGAATTTAGTTGCTAGAGGCCCCCTCCCAAAATTCAGTTGCCGGAGTTTCTCTCCCCTCTAATTCAGTTGCCAAAGCCCTCTCGAATTCATTTGCCAGCGACCCTTTTCGAAATATGTTGCCAGATTTGATGTGACTTATCAGGAACATTGACAGTATACAACTAAGTCGAAATACCAACGGACACTTGCATTGCCAAGCAGCTGTTTTTCAAAATATCATAATATTAACTACGATGGCCGCCATGTCATGTAATTGCGGTATTATTATTATAATAATGCTATCGTATTATATGTTTATACGATGTGTAATTTATGTATGAAAATATTTTAATCCCCTGCCATAGTATGCTTTGTTCGGAAATTTAATATTTTACATGTTGATGAGTAACAAGTATCACACACGTGAATAGCTCAGCAGAAATATTCGACAATAGTAACATTTATGGGTATGTGCTATTATGACAAACAGTACTATAGCAAACTATCGCCGCCTGGCGGCCATTTGTGTGATTCAAATTGTGTTCAAAAGAGGCGGTGGACCGACTTGCTTGAAACTCAGTACCTGAAAGCAACATTAATACGTCACATATTATTGCATACTCGGGGGGGGGGGGTTGATTGGCGGCCATTTTGTGTTTCAAGTTAAAATGAATATCGCAGCTGTATCTATAGACCCATTTACTGCGTCAAGTAACGCTATTTTTATCTAAGACACAGGACAACCAATAGACAATAGTAACATTTATGGGTATGTGCTATTATGACAAACAGTACTATAGCAAACTATCGCCGCCTGGCGGCCATTTGTGTGATTCAAATTGTGTTCAAAAGAGGCGGTGGACCGACTTGCTTGAAACTCAGTACCTGAAAGCAACATTAATACGTCACATATTATTGCATACTCGGGGGGGGGGGGTTGATTGGCGGCCATTTTGTGTTTCAAGTTAAAATGAATATCGCAGCTGTATCTATAGACCCATTTACTGCGTCAAGTAACGCTATTTTTATCTAAGACACAGGACAACCAATAGCATTTGCCTTAACCAGGTTGATGATGCTACAAGTTGTAGACCTCATCAACGTTAGTAAATACACAACGTAGACCTTAGTCTAAAATGGCTGCCTAGATCTCGTTGAGAGTGAGAAAGCCGCGAGATTTGTGTTTGCCATGGATCGTGGAAACAGTGCACGTGATTGTGGGAGAGAATGGAAAACTGTATGTATTTGAGGGACAAAAACATGTTTCGTGGCGATACTTCTTCGTACGTCTCAACGAGATTTCAGCGGTCATTCGCTATAATGTCTATTGTCAAATATTGTTTTCTTGATCACCTATTCTCTGACAAACTGTCCGATATGGCGGTTAAGTCGTTTACCCAGTCATAATGTAGTGGTTGACATATTTACCCGTGGGACTGATTTAATGGTTGTCAATTGTAGGACATCGCTTTATCATCATCAGATCGATCATTGAAATCCCCCCTCTAAATATGCCAAGTGTTCACCACAGGTCAGCGGGGTCACAGTTAGTTGAACGTCCGTTCTCGTGGTGTCATATTGATTTATACCGGTCATAGCTAAATTGACACGTTGAAGGTTAAAATTAAGACGTATGGTCACCGAGACATGAACCCCGTCTCTTCACAGTCAACTATGACAATGCTATTCGGTGGGTGACGTGCCATTTGGTTCTGTCTAGTTCATCATACCCAATATGATCCAACAACTTGAAATAGCCTAAACCCAAATAACCGAGTGTGGACATACATTGCACAAATCGGCGATTGTTCTTTCAAAAAGAAGCAGGAGGCCATTATCATAAAACGGCGAGCATTACAAACAAACTATGATCGTGGCACAACATTTTTCAATAAGTCACTATAAAGAATAAATTATTATTATAATCTTAATTCCTTTATTTCTGAGATACATCGATGAAGACACCACATAGTGGTTAACCCTGTACAAAACACTGCTACAGCAAAATATACAATATAAATAACATTAATATATAATATAGATATTTTAATTGCGACACAACACGAGTTGTTTAGTTACAAGAGGCATATAAGATTTTCATACAAATAATGTTTGGCATGACGTCATTTATACAAATTGATGGCGTCTTCGAATGTTAAAACAGTTAAATAAAGCCGTCATTTGTAGTATTTTCATCATATAATAATTAAAATATATTTATATTTTATTCGGTATTGGAGTGTGTTCATTTCATAACATGCAAAATGGCACGACGTCACGTGTTTAGTGTATTCCTAAAAAAAGTATTTGATAACTTGTGGTATGACCGTCTTTCCTAATATGGAGTTTGTTTGGTCGATTCGCGGGATTGGATATGATATAAAATACAGTGGCTGGTTTGCAGTGGAAATTGTTATGTTTCTTGTGAAAAATATGCAAATGGTTATTTCAGGTTTCTGATGATTTTTAACTTGCCTGGAAAAACGAGGAATAACAAATGTTCCTGAGGTATTCGACGTCACTGATCACGGTTGAATAATCGTAATCTAACAGATCGTCATGACAACATCATGTTTTGTCATGCAGCACTTTACAATGTACAAAGAACGATGTCTATGATCGGTTGATTGTCACTTTAGAAATATTCCGATTTTTGGCAATGTAGTATTTCATTGAATTTCTCAGAATTTCATGTGTAAACATATAAACATATAACATTAGGGGACGTAAAACTTTAAATTCGATTACTTTGGCCTGAGACAGATATATGCACTAATTGTGACGTCACGTGAGTTTACACTAAATCCTCCATCTTATATGCTAAATAAACCGTCGGTATGTACCCCCTGCATTGTTTCATCGGGGAGTATACCATCACCCATAATGCATTGCTTTCTAAGTCTTTCCTGTTAAAGTACACAGTTTCTCCTCTCCGCACACTCAGTTCACTGGCTGTCATTGCTTTATGGTTGTGCGTCAGGACCGTCCGCGTTGTTAGATCAGTCACGTCAAAGTCCTCCTCTATATCTCGGCAGGGTGTACTACTGGGCATGCGCACTGCGTCTTCGCTGAAATTATGGGTTGCATTTGTCCCTTGGCTGTGACAGCTGATTCGTACCTTTCGTGTTGATGCTATTTTGACTTCGTGCTTCCACCCAATGGCGTAGTTGTCATTTCTTGTAAATTTCCCATTGTAAACTAAATAAATACAAGAACATTGGATCAGTATTATTACATAGCATTTGGCAAGGTGTCAAATAGTTAAGAAGCAAAATAACCCGTGAATATCGCTGACTTCTGATCTCTAGCTAACTGCTGTATTCGGCAAACTGCAAAGAACTAAATGCATGATTGAAAATCTCTACCTCTGGGCGCTCTGAAAAGATCTGGTGTACAGAGCCAGCAGCAAAACGAGACTACGCTTTATTGTCAAGGTTGTCTAGTTGCTGAATGATTGGGGCTATATACCAGTTTTAGGGACAATTTGTTAAACAAATTGTTCTGAAATCGGTGAAATATTACCAGAAATCTTAACTTTTGGGTTTTAACACATCGACCAGATTTTCAGAAGGGGGGTCATTTCTGACGTGTTACTTATCACCAGTTGATATTGACTCACCTTTTTGGGATATGACGTAAGAGAATGGTATAAATCCCTCGATTCCAAGTTCGTTTCTTACAAAGCACCAATCGTAGTCTTCGTGGTTCAGTAGAGTTACTGTTTCTCCTTGTCGTACGGTTAAATCACCCTCGTCATGGGCCACAAAGTCGAACAATATTATCAAAGTTTCGCGGTCAGATTTTTTAAAGATATGCGACTGCTTTTCGGATGAGTCTAATTTAGCCCTTTCCGCGTTCTGGGATTGAATGGCAGTTTTCTTAGAGTCGAGCTCACATTTTGTCTTCAGAGTCTCAGCAGGAGTTGTGATTGAAATTTGACCACACAATTGCGTCCGAGAAGAGTCTGATTCGGTTGTTTTATTGTAAAACGATTCAGGTCTTAAAGTCTTTGGTGGCAGTTTTGGTGGTTCGGTTAATTCCGGAGCACGGCATAAAGTTTTCGGTGGCAGTTCCGGCGGTTCGCTACAGTCCGAGCCGTATCCTTCCGAATTGCACTCTTCGTTCGTACACGCTTCATATTCTCCAAAGCAACTGTTTTTTATTAAACTTTCTAACTCGTGTATAGTTTGACAAAGCCCTACAACATTTTCTTTCGAGTAACCACTGTCTTTGACGACTGCTTTCACAGTCTTTGCGTCTGTTATCCCTACGCCATTCGTCACGATTTCGTTAAGACGGGAACCCCTACTACTTATACACAAGGTTTCGTTGTCCAGTGAACCATCCGAGCCATCAGACACTTTCGTCGATACGCAAAAATTTTCTATTGACATTTTTTCCTCAACGGTGTTTCCTTCGATGCAGCGTTTTTGTTCAAGCATTCGCTGTTTCCAAGCCTTCATCTTAACGCTACCAAATGAGTCGGTATCGCTATCAATGGAAGTGCCGTAGTCCGAATCAGTGCTAGTCGACGTTGTCGGTGACTGTGGAGCGATCATATTTGGCGTGGACATGCTCTCGCTGTCTGTATTTACTGACATACTCGAACGCTGGGATGACGACGACGATATGGCCGGTTGTATTTTGTCGCTTTTAATCATAAGTTCTTTGTCGTTGTTTTTATCCTCCAGGGTGGAATTAACCACATTCCCAGCTAAGGCATTATTTGTGTTGTTTACATCAGGTTGGCTCAATAGACATGCTATTTTCTGTTTTAAATCGACACTAGCGCTCCTTTTCAAACTTAGTTCAATAGATTTTAGTAGTTTAGCCTCAGTCTTACAATGCGATGAATACTTGGTTTTGTTTACTGTTTTCTCGACAAGGCTACTGCGAGAATTAAACCTCGCTGTGTCCGCAACATCCCGTGGGCTGTATTCACAATCGTCACTTTCTGTGAAGTCACTCAACTTATGTCGAGAAGCGGGAAGTCTCCTCGAGCGCCTCAGGTTTTCTAAACTTTTGCTTCGCTCTTTCAATCTACGTTCGTCCCTGCCTCTAAACGGCGAGGGGGGAGACTTCGATCTTGCTTTTCGGCAGTTGTCTCTCCGACGAATATGAGGCTGGCCGCAATATCTCATGGGTATGAATCCGACTTTGCCGCTTTCCACCCTAACAAAAGCCCACCCACTCTCTTCATGCATGACCCTTACATTCTGTCCCTTGATAACTCGTACTTCGTTCTTCTCGTCCGGTTCAAAGTCATAGAGCACTGTAGCCCGCACATTGGCTGGTCTCTTCAACGAATGTCCTCTTAAACTATCCATCAAATCAACAGATTCGGTTTGTACTGTATCCGAGTCAGCCATTCGTGGTTTCGACTTGTGCCTCCGTCGGCTGTTACTCAGTGATCGTCGACGCGTCCGACACACGTCGCAATGTTCCTCGTCCACTACAATGACAAAAAAAAAAGAAATCCACGTTACCTTAAAAAGTAAACAAGTAATGGCTGACTACGTGGGTGAGATGACGAGCACAACATTTGTGAAGTAGGTGCAAATAATATTGGTAATGTGACCAAGTGGGTAAACACGAACCGTTAAATAATTAGAGCAAACACTTATATTGACACTAGCGGTGTACTTGAATAGGGAAAGTACTTTAGAAACGGTAGAAGACAGCTTCACAAGTCAAGTAGTTGTGAGTAGGGTCTGGATCTACTAGCAACGGCCGCACAATATACCGGACTGTTGGGCTGATCACAGTTTTGAACAGGGTGGCTACTTTATCTGATTGGCTAGCAACCCCGACAGGTATGAAATCATGCGTTTCTCCCTTGAGGAGACAAACGTTATTTGTTAAAAACTCGCATATCACTTTAACGCCCCCGGTCATCGGCAACTTTAAACAGGTGGAAAGCAGACAGGTTTAAACAACTTTTATGAAGTGTAAGTAACTCTAGACTGTTCGTCAAATAAAGTAACCATTTTGACGCAATGACATATATTCGTGTTATGCATAGGAAACAAAGCAAGATTTCAACGGTCAGGTGTTTACGTGCTGCTCGGCGGCGTGGAACAAACGATGTCGGATAACAACCTAAAGTAAATAACGTCACTATTGAAATCAATGTTATATTTATTTTATTCATATAAATCGTATAAAATCTTCCAAACACTATGACATAAATAACAACGGGGTACATCGCGACCTTCAGAGCCTAATTCATTATCGCGAATTAAAATCGCACTGTACCCTTGGGATATATTATTGTAACCCCGGGGGACGCAATAACTCATTAAAAAGAAATACTTCTTTCGTTGGAATCTAGAAGAGAAACATATAAATGACAATTGGCATTCCTTTAAGATAAAACGTGGTCCTTGACCTGCCATTAATCAGTTCACGCCCAATATCGCACCTCTCGATTATTTAGTAGGACTTACTAAGTATGTTTGATTGAAGTGACATTGGTTGTTATTGGTGCAGAATAGTCAACCTGGTCAACATTTCCTGATGCTGACCAATAGAGAAGTATGTTACAAAATCACTGAAGCTTTGAGAATCGGTGTACCGCAAAACTATTTTAGTATACATATTGGTTTATTACTAATAAATGGCAATTAAAAAAACACTTTTTATACTAACACAACCAAACCCTTACATGAGCTTATTTCAACTTAAACTTTACGGTGTACAGAAAGTGAAGAACTCAACGCATAACTACATGCATATTCTACATATACTTGGTTATGGCGGTCCAAACAATAGGAGATTATGTTGTTTAAAAAGTTACTTTTAAATATTGGTCCAGGAACGCATTCAACACATTTCATTTTATATGGACGCACGGTTCCCACGCGAAATAATTTAACTCTAAAAATTAAATGTGCCATTAAAATACAAAAAAACTCTAATTTGCTCTCAGTGGGAGAAAGTGACTCATTACACCGAACAGACCAAACTGAGAAAGCGATACAACAAATAACACAGAACGCGGTTGAGTTTGTATTCTTCCTTTTAAAGACAACACGTAATTGAGATTACGCGAACAATGTTTATTTCAGGCACAGACGTGTCAATGACCTCTAGGCCATTCACCAATTTGATTAAAAGATCGTTCCAATTAAAAACATTTATTTAAGTACGCATCCTTCCGTCTATGGTGTAATTACTATGTAAATTTAGACATAAAAACAACCGATAATAGTTTGTATTGTGACTTCGTTGGTGGTATCATCACCACGATGGTTGAGCGAAACGTTGCTGCTGTGGTTAGGCACTTTGTATTATTGTTGAAATAAAGTACATCTATCTTACTTCCATGGTATAATACTGGCGGATATATATATATATAAATATTGTAAGAACGGCAAGATTACACCATGGCCTTGACAATACTGTTGTGGAGTATACAATTATACACTGTAAGACAAATTAACAAGTTCTTGAGAAGGTCATGCAAGAACTGGGAACGAAACTGAAAGTTCGCCGTAGATGGCGCTACATATATTCTTGAGACTTGTGTCAGTATGCTTATATCGTCAAAGTTCACGAGCGTATATAGCACTACCACATTTTAAATATTGGTATTTTACTTAGCGGGGATCTTTCAACCACAAATCCATTTAATACACGTGTCCACCAACTAACAAGAAGTGGCAACGCTCGTATTTTTTTCTAGTTTGAGAGTAGTTACCATAACGACATCATAGTATAAAACTTCAATATCACTTTATCGTGTCGCATTTCCATTCAATGCATCAAGGAATATTCAAGTTAGCAAATTTACGATTTCTATTATTTGCACTGATGTTTTATAGAAGTAAAAAAATACGTATTATCAGACTGGTGCTCGCCATTCAAATTAGGTATCATTGGATCCCCGTACAAACACCGTGACATTCCAAATTGCCGAAACACGTCGTTAAGCGTTGACATCACAGTGACATCAAGGATTGAGTCGGTACTTTGAACTTGACAATATGAAAAACATAAAATGTGTCATTTTGGTTCGACCACAAAACGTCCTATAAGCAATTTTGATACCAATACAAGATCTCCATGACGACCAAGAATTGACCAATTGTGAGTGTATTTGAATGATAAATGGTTCACTAAGTGTTTAAGAATACACCACCTGGGTCGACGACAAATTGATAATTTCTTGTTATTTTTGAGACTGGTATCTGAGTGTCCAGTATGCCAAGTCCATTTCTGTATTCTAAGGTTGAAATGGGCCAGAGGTCACGTGTCCATTGTTTCCGGTATATACTGATTGCACGTCATAGTAACCATAAATTCTGACAGGTCCTGTTTTTTTAGTTGCAGCAGTTGTTATTCGAATCTTGTTTGTAAAACACGATCCCGAAACATGTTTAATGCGACCGCTTCCGAAGTACAGGGTCAACTCACTAGTTCTATTGGGTCAAAATGACTAGTGCTTGTGTTCGCCGAGTCTATTTTTTTTTCACCCAATATGCAAATTTCAAATTAATCACGAGTTAGAAATGTCCCTCTATCATGCTTTGTAGTCTAGCGTTTTATGGTCGAAGAATATAGCATCAATTTTGTTTTGGCAGACAGCTGTTTTTTAATTCCGCAAATACACGTGCAACTCCCGGGCCGTCTGCAGACCGGAACCGTTCCGCATAATGTACACAAACACAATGACATACTAGTATAGAAATCCACGAAATTCCTTAAGAGAATCACCGTCACGGCAAACTACATAAAAAATATAACTATTATGATCGGACGTACATAGCAACTGTATTTAAATTAAATGCCAGTGTTAGCTCGTTCGATTGTTAGTGTAAAAGAAATTCGACGCCGGTGGACCTACTTCAGGTCTACATGTTTAGGTGGGTTGTGCAATAGACAACATCTGTGATACCATGGCAACGGACTAAACATTCTACGTAATTTGATCGCATAATTTCCCTTCAGCTCTTTATAAGTTTAGACGCTGCTTCTAGAAAACGAGTGAAATGTTATACTTTAAAACAGTATATCCCTCAGAAATACGTCTGAGAAACCGAGAGTGTTACTGCCATCAATTCCATACTCGCTTATCCGTCGGAGATGTATGCTGGTGCGGTGTAACGTGAAGGTAGCGTCGTACATCTTAAACGTGGTCAACAATAACAACACACCACGACAAGACAAAGGAAACAATATGAACATCATTGACTTTTATGTCATTTTTTATAATTCATTTAATAAATAGGTGACCTACAATTTCCAACGAGCAGCTTTAACTTTCGCCGAAGAAGAGTGAGTGAAATGACGCATAGATTCTATGCGACATTCGTCATGTACTTGTAGACCGTTTCTAAGGTCTATGGCGTGCCACAGTCCTCGCGTCGCGTCGCGTTCGGTGTGGGTCTCACGAAGCGAAACTGCACGCCAATCGTACCGAATCTACACGACTAACACAGATTAACCGATATTGCCTTTATCGTGCAAATATGGATGCATTTCAATACAAAGTTGTTTTTATAACATTAATTCCGTGTAAATTGAAGTGTAAAATTAAATTCTTATTGTCTAAATGTTGAATATTATTCAGAAGCATATGTCTTACTTGAAAACATCAAAAGCAGAAACTGCTGAAAAATATGAGCCTGAGCCACAATTATTACCGACTTATTGGGTTTCTTTCAACGTCAAAACACATCAGTAAATCAAAACAGGTGCAGGAAGCATGAAAGTGTAAAAAGGGATTATAAAAAAAAAATACACCTAAAACTAGATTATTTTTTACTTCAACGATTTTAATTAAGAATCTGGAACGAGTCGTTAGAACTCGGAACAGACTAGAAATTGCAGGAAACTGTTATCAAATACAACCGACACATGTCTAATAATCGTGGAATAAGGCGTTTTCACGTGAAATATTGTTATTACGTGACGGAAGTTATTAACGTTATTCGCAAGTCATTAACATCATTAAGTTCTGAAGCGCATATTAAGCTATCACGTGATTGTTAACAATCCCTCCATGAGATAGGAACTGCCGACTACCAACCTTCGCTCGTACAACATTCACTTGGTGATCGATCCAGGGCCTAATACTGTTTTCAACAAGAAGCCGTCAAAATGAGTAGTATGTCTGTTTTACGTCCTAATCGATTTTATGCCAAACACGTGATTTTCTATCGTCATAATCAAGATTACAAGCGACCAATATAACCCGTAGAAATCTCGTAAAATATAAGCGTGACGTCATGCTCGCGTTCCCAATCACCGTCACACAATACTTTAATAACGTGACTTGAATATATAACAATGAAGCCATTGTTTTGCTTGAAACCATTCTATTGTCAGCTGCTCTCGGCGACGGCTATCGAGATATCGATTGATCGAGAAAGAGTTTTCAATTTGAATATCGATTTCAATGCTGTGCCCTGTAGTTGTGATGCTTTGATGTTGCCGAACATATACCGCACT